CTTTCTGACAATGATTCCCATAGATTTGTGTTTTATCCAATGCTTTTTTTTTTTCACTCAACACTATGACAATATTTACTTGCCCAAAATACCTTCAAAAGACAGGACTGACTGAAAGCCCAGCTTAGACAGTCATAGTTATTTAGACTTAAAGCCCATTACTGTCTATTATGATGGCAGTAATACTAAATGCCTTTTAAAATCCATTTAATACCTCCTATGACTTTTATGGTACATCAAATTACAAGCCTCGTCTCATGAAAGAAAATTGTCTTCGTTCTAATGTGGTGATATGCAAATGAGTAACTGATCAGGACAAAGAATTTTGAAAATCCAGAGACAGCACATGGAACTTGAAAAATAATGTGGATACCCAGTGCCTAGAGACTCTGCTTGTCCTATTTTCACTCCTTTTAGAAATGAGTTCCCCAGCCTGGACAAAAGGTGATCTCACAGAAGAAACAAAAATCAGTTACTTTACAGCTAGGTTACGGAGCACTGGGGAGTTGGGAAATTACAAACGTGCTGCCAGGCCTTCGCCGTCTAGGGCACTACTGCAAAGCAGCCTGGGGTTCATGGGGACCAAGAGAGCTGAGGGCTGGCTGAGAGCTGCTGGGATGCCAGTGAGTACCCTTCATGCTTCCCCAACCACTGGCATCTTTTGTGACCAGCCTCAATATGACAGCGTGACACCTCCTTCCTGACAATTCTTCCACAGAAGAGGGTCAACACAAGGTCCAATGTGTCACTGTCATGACTCTGTGACAAAGACTCTGGTAGTCATACATTACTAACAAATTAAAAGTTCTTTTATTCCTGCTTTAAGATTTCAAAAATGAATTAGAATTTTTTTTTAAAGGTGATGATGATGTCTAGAATTGAGTAGGCTTAACCTTTTCCTCATCAACATCAATGTAGCTGTTAAAACACTTTTATACAGGGCATTAGACTGCACACTGGAAAAAAAAAAGATCGTGTGTAACTATAAAAACAACTATTTATCGTCTTTCTTTTAGAATCAAAACTAGGAAGACAGAAAGTTTTCAAAGTACTTTAATATATTTCTTTTTTCACAGTCTACAATGAGCTACGAAGCTGAGCCTAATGCGACGCTCTCATACTCGCAGCCCCAATCATACGCTTCCTGCTCCCCCAGGGGTGAAGTTAAAGTGACAAATCTACTGTTACACCCTCTGAACAACAGAACTTCTTTTATAGCCTGAAAATCATGAGTACTATGTAGTTCTCCCTCAGTTCCTCCTCTACCTCCAGGCACCCATTTTCTTCTGCTTTCAAGCAAGAGGAATTGTCCCTAAGCAGGTTAAAAAGGTAATTCATGGGGCTGATTTCACATGATTACGGTTCAGGAACATTAGTAAAAATATCTGAATTCAACGTAACAAAGACTTGGGAGTTCTTCACTAGAAAAACCAGAGGAAAATCTACTATGAAAGAGTCAACAAGGAAGAAGGGTCCTATATCAAGCCCTGAATTCTGTTTCCTTAAGGCAGACACTCTTCTATTTGTATGGCCTTAATTTACTTTCCCTCCAACAGAGCTGATCTGCTCAATTCCAGACTTAAGCACAGGATCTACTGGTATGAAAGGGAGCCCTGGTGGCACAGCAGGTAAAGCGCTCAACTGCCAAACCAAAGGCTGGAGTTTCAAATGCACCAGATGCTCCATGGGAGAAAGATGAGTGAGCCCTGCTCTATTCTACAGGGCTGCTTTAGGTCCGAGTTGACTCAATGACAGTGGGTGGAACATTATAAAAAATCAGCAGCCAGGACATGCGGTCTCCTATTGCCTTTCTCAGGGTCTTGGTAGGTGTCCATGGGTGACTTAGAAAGTCAAGCACAAGGTAAAGAACAGAAAGACCAGGAGGTCAAAATCACCAGGTATCTGGATAGGGATGCCTAGAGAGCTGCTTGTGAAAGGTCACAGACTTGAAAACCCTAAGGAGTAGTCTTAAAAACCCTATAGAGCAGTCCAACCTGTTTAGCATACAACAGGTCACCTTCAACTCAATGGCAACTGGTTTAAGACACTTGTGTATGCTCTCCAGGGAATTTTCAACCTGTGGCTTGTCCCTCTCATCCTCTGAAGTGATATACCCTGGGGCTCAGACAGACTCCAAATTTGACCAAGCATCATTCCCTAATTTAAATATTCAAATTCAAGCTCCCAGCTGTTAAGTCAGTTTGGACACATAGGTATCCTTCATTGAGTCTCCCAGGTTATAAATCCTAATGGGAAGAAACTGGCCAAACTTTTCCTGAGGAGCAGAAGCTAGATCTGAACCACTAGAGACGCAAGACTTTTGAGTTTGCAGTGTAATTAATTAGAAGAGAGCAAGGAAACATGGCATGATTCAAGATCAGGAAAGGAGGAAAGGTGAGCATCCAGGATGCCTCTTACACCTTTTCAATCAATATGCAGAACAGATCATTCATGAGGAGTCCTGTATGAGGAATAATGCGGCATCAGTATTGGAGGAAGACTCATCAACAATCTGTTATGTAGATGATACAACCTTGCTTGCTCAAAGTGGAGAGGACATGTGGAATTTGCTGCAGTAAGTCAAGGACTGTAGTCTTCAATACAGATTGAAGCTCAACATCAAGAAAATAAAGATTCTCACCACTGAGCTGATCAGCAGCTTTATGATGGATAGAGAAATTGTGGTTGTTGATAACTTCCAACTGCTTGGTTCCATAATCAGCACTCTTGACACCAGCAGTCAGAAAAACAAAAGATGAATTACTAGGGGAAAGTCTGCTGTAAGGGACCTCTCCAGAGTACTGAAGAGCAACGATGTCAGTCTGGAGACTAAAAGGCATCTGATCAAGGCCATGGTCTTCACAAATACTTGCTATGCATCAGAGGGCTGGACAAGAACTAAGGATGACAGAAGATTGACGCTTTTGAGTTGTGGTGCTGGAGAAGAGTGTTGAACCTGCCACAAGAGTGCCAGGAGAACAGATCTGTCCTGGGGAGGGGGAAATTAGGCTGCTCTCTGGAGGCAAGGATTTTGAGGCTCTGTCTCACACACTTTGGGCACAAGTCCAGGAGGGATCAGTCCTTGGAGAGAGACATTATGCTTGGAAAGGTGGAGGGTCAGTGCAGGTGAAGAAGACCTGGGATGAGATGGATTGACACAGTTACTGGAGAAATGGAATTAGGTCTATTGGAGACGAGAAGACTGACTCAGGATAGGGCAGTTTTCAGAGCTAGTGTACAAAGGGTTGCTATGCGTTGCAGGCAACTAGATGGCACATAACAATAGGACATCAAAGCACCCTTTCCCTAACTTAAAGGTGAAAAAGGAAACCTCTGGTCTGACCATGTATCACCCTGGCTTTAACAGAGTCCCTGGAACAGGAGAAACGTAATTGCCTCATTCAACTCTTAATGTCCTGCTCACAGTCTCCTTTCTGTTCCCAGAGATGAGCTGGAACCAGAGTTCCTTGGTAGGCAGATGGGCTGAACAAACTCTACTACTTATCAGTGCCCAGGCCAGCACTTGGCTGCCTGGAAGGCTGTTTCCAAGCACTAAAAAATCAACCTGGAGAGCTACTGTGTACATTCCTCAGTACATTCCACCAGGCCTGTGGCCTTCCTGGTTTCCTAGTGCTAATGTAACAGAAATACCCTAAGTGGGCACCTTTAATGAACAGAAATTTATTTTCTCACAGTTTACACTACTAGTCTAAATTCAAGACTCTGGCTACAGGGGAAGGCTCTCTCTGCTTGCTCTGGGTGGGGGGGGTGGGAATCCTTGTCTCTTTTACTTGAAAGAGAAAATCCTCTTGTCTTCCTTAGTGAACTCCTGGCATCAATCTTTCTCCATCTGTGCTTGAGAGCTTCCTTCTGTGCCTAATCTGTTCTTTTTACATCTCAAAAGTGATATGGCCTCATTAGCATAACAAAGAAAGCCCTATTCCCAAATGGGATTGCATTCACAGGCAGAAAAAAACAAAACACCCTAAAGCAAACCTACTCACAGCCAGACCCTATGACAGAGTAGAAGTGCCCCTTGAAGCAGGGATCTCATAAGGCTGAAATCTTTTAAGAATGAAGACTGCCACATTTTCTCCCCAAAAGCAGCTGGTAAGTCTGAATGGCCAATCTCTCAGTTAGCAGCCAAGCACTTCACACTAGCACTCATTTCCACAGGTACAGGGTGTTAGGATGTACAGTAACTATTTTGGGGATACACAACTCAATTCCTAACACCCTCTGCAGAAGAGCTCTTCAGCAATGCTCTGGCAGTGAAGGGGGGCAGGCAGCCAGCGAAACAAGCCAGAGCCTGAACTGGCAGCAGAGTCTGGACCGCAGGGTCCAGCTGCGTGGCCATCAGCAGGCTTCCATCTGTCAGCTCTCTCTGGAATTTATAGCAGGGGGACAGGGCACGAGGGTAGTTCAACAGGACTTTTCTTCTTTCCAGTTGATAAATGAAAAGGGAAATGAGAATTTCTGACCAATCTTCCTATTTAAGATAATCATGATAGTGTAAACAGTCACATCTTTGATTGCTACCCACAATTCAAGTTCAAGTCTACTGACAGACTCCTTGGAAGAAAGCCCTGTGTAATATGTTTTTCCAGAAATCAGCTACTGAAAACCCTGTGGACTGCTCTTCTGCCCTGATACAAGGGAGTCACCAAGTCAGAACTGGCTTGATGGTAAGGGCTGCTCTTCACTGCTTTCAGTGGTGCTAAAGATTAACACGTGATAAACCAAGGTGTCTATTCAGAGGTGCTCAGGATGAAAGGCCAGTGAACATCTGTGGAGCACAGTTCCACTCTGACACACATGAAGTTGCTATGGGTCACAATCAACAGAAATTAGTCTGGTCATACACACTGTATTCATAACAGAATGGAATGCAAAACACACCTACCGTAAGGGTACTTGGTTTCCAGCTTATTCTCTGCTGTTCTCCTCCAAGGCAGCAAATCATCACTGCACCCATTTGGCATCCCATTGTAACCGATCCCAACAATCTTGTTTTCTGTGTTCACAATGCAGGCTCCGACCTACAGAAAAAAATGCCCAAGGGACTGGTGACTGGAGTTGCCAACATCCAGAGGTGGTGAGGGGCAGAGTTCCAAGAAGGACACACATTTTCTGAAGGTGCTACCAGTGCTCTATCTCCTACCCTACTTTCTGTGGCAATACTGTTCTGGAGGGACACAAGAGGCATTAAACAAGAACATGTAACAATTTACTTCTTCATAGGAAAATGAATGCAACACAACAGCTAAGTCACATTTTAACTTAAGATTTATAAAGTTGCCAATTTATGAGCAATTCTGTCTCTGGGGGTACCCAAATATTTTTCTATAAACCCCACTTACTTGGGAATTTGGATCTTTGCTTCTCTGTGCTGACAGAAAAGCCACTGCCATGAAATACTCAGGCCATTCTAAATAGTCATCTCGTTTTTTGCAGGAAATTTCATTCATGGTGGGTCTGAAAGCAAAACACAACAAAGTTATAGATGAGAAACACACTTTGGTAAGACTACTTTCCACTTTATTTTCACCTCATCTAAGCTTTGTACCTTTAAACTCAGAAGGAACTCTGGTGACACGGTGGTGAGTGTTCATCTGCTAACCCAAAGGCTGACAGTTCAAACCGACCAGCAGGAGAAAGATGTGGCAGTCAGTTTGGGCAGACAGCTGTCTTGGGGACTTGGAAATGTCCCACTCTGTTCCAAAGGAATGCTATGAATTGGATGGAACAGTTGACGGCCATGGGTTTGGTGGTTTTAAACTTAGTTACCTTTTGTTGTGATTATGCACTATTGAGTTGGAATAGACTCATATATGACCTCCAGGGGTTTTCAGAGGCTGTAAAAAATGGGTATGAGAGGAGACTGCTCATCTTTCTCACTCACAGCAGCTGAGGGATTTGAAACACTTGGCTTTGGGTTGCCAACACAACTCCTTAACTAAGTCACCAGAGCTCCCTTTACCAACCATAAATCTTAGAATATGGACCTCGGAATTACCTTACAGTGTCTTGTCTTAAAAAGAAAAGCCTAAATATTAAATTCAGAAATTTTGGTTCTAGATGGGCAATCTCCTCTCGTGTGATTACTGATTCTGAATACCAGCCAGGGGGTCAGCTATGGGTTGGTTCTAACTCGACGGTACATAACAACAACATGTATTACTGTACATTCTCACATCTATTTATTGCTTTTTCATAAGGTGCTTTGCAATTTAATACAAGTGCCTGACGATTACCTCATTCCTTCATACAAGGTAACAAGCACAGTGGGAGTGGGGAATGACATTTATTGATCACCTACAAGCTCACGCAAGTCCTCGTGGCACAGTGGATTCAGCACTGGGCTGCCAACTGAAAGGCTGACAGTGTGAATACACCAGCCACCACACAGGAGGAAGATAAGGCCGTCTGTGCTCATAGAAATGTACAGCCTGGGAAACCCCCCTGGCAACAATTCACAGCCAACCCTTAGCAGGTTTCCAGATGCTGTAAATTACATGGGAGGAGACTGCCCATCTCTGGCCCTCACAGCAGTGGGTAGATTTGAACCGGCCACTTCTAGATTGGTAGCTTAATCCACTACGCACTAGTTCAATGAGACCTGTATGGTGCAATTCTACTGACTTACAGAGTCCCTTTAAGGCAGAATCGACTCCTTGTCAGTGCAGTGTAAGTCCTGGTAGCAAAGGGGGTTAAGCATTGTTGTTATGTGTCGTCAAGTTGCTTGCGACTCATAGTGACCCTATGTACAACAGCCCTAAACTCTGTTCTGTCCAGTGACAATCATACTGTCTCCGATACACCCATCCTGATTACCCCAGTCACTGAATCAATCCACCTCCTGCGCTGTCCCTCCACCCTACCAAGCATGATGTCATTCTCCAAGGACCGGTGTCTTCTTACAACATGTCCAAAGTATGTTAGACGGAGCCTCAGAATCCTTGCCTCCAAGGAGCCACCCGATTTGACCCTTTCCAGGATGAATCTGTTTGTTTTCCTAGCAGTCCATGGTACCCTCAATACTCTTCTCCAGCACCATAGCTCAAAGGCATCAATTCTTCTATCCTCCTTAGTCACTGTCCAACTTTCTGATGCATAACAAGTGACAGCAAAGACCAAAGCATGTATCAGATGCACCTTAGTCTCCAGAGAGACACCATTGCTCTTCAGTATTTTGGAGAGGTCCCTAACAGCAGACTTTCCCATCGCAATATGTCTTTTAATTTCCTGGCTACTGGTGCCGAGAGTGTTATGATAACCAAAAGGCTGCCTATTCAAAATCACCAGCTGCTCTGAGAAAGAGGAAGAAGAGGCCATCTGCTTCCATATAAAACCTTACACGTCTTAAGAGGCAGTTCTACTCTTGGCCTACAGTGCTGCTTATGAGTAGGAAGGGACTAGGGCCATTGAGTTTGGCTTTTAAAATACGGCAGACACCATTAAAAGTTATGTATCATTCCTTTTAAGCCTTATTACTATACTCGATAAGATGGAGAACAGAGGCTCAGAGAATTTAGGTAACTCATTCTAAATCTTCAGTTATGCACCATTACAAATTATTGAGTAGTGATATCTGTTTGAGAACTAAAGTGCATCTGATTCAGGCCACAGTCTTTTTGATTACTAGCTATGCATCCAAGACCTTGACAATGAAGAAGGATGACAGAAAAATAATTGATGCCTTTGAGCTGTGGTGTTGGAGAAGAGCACTGAACATTCCATGGACTGTCAGGAGAACAAATGTCTTGGAGATGGTGCAGCAGGGTGCTCTTTGGAGGCAACAATGATGAGGCTTCACCTCACAGACTTTGAACACCTGGCTAGGAGATGCTATTCCTTGGAGAGGGACATGATGTTGGGAAGGGTAGAGGGTCAGTGAAGGAGAGGAAGACCCTCAACCAGGTGGACTAATGTGGTAACTGCTGCAATGGGCTCTTTGTGTGTCAGGGAAGTGTGACCATGGCGTAGGACAGGACCGAGTTCAGATCTTTTGTTCATAGGGTCACTACGCGTTGTATTCGATCGACTTGATGGCACCTAACAAAAACATAACAAATCACAGTTATTATATATGCTCGTTGGATTGCAAAGCAAACATTCTCAGCTGTACCAACTCTGATGTTGTTATGCACCGTCAAGTTACCTGAGATTCACACCCTATGTAATAGTTCTGAACCATGCCCTGTTCTAAACCAGTCTGTCTCCACCACACCTACCCCACTGCCCCAGTTACTGTGTCACTCTATCTCATCCAGGGTCTTCCTCTCCTGTGCTGTCCCTCCACCCTTCTGAGCATGATGTCCTTCTCCAAGGAATAGCACTGTCAAAAAGTATGTGAGATGGAGCTTCAAGATTCTTGCCAACTAAAAAAAAAAAATTCTTGCCAACTTTGATATTAACCAAATAATTTGTCACTCCCCTCACTTGGAGAAGTGAAGGTCGGTGAAGAAGTAGAAATGCCTCAATTAAGTTGGACTGACACTGTGATCTGAACAAGTATGGGCAGAGGTGATGACACAGGGTTCAGAACCATAGGTTCATAGTTGTAGCTGACAGACCTAACACCAGCTTTCCCCTATACTTCCCCAGATGGGACAGTAATAATCAACTCTTAAGTCCTCAATCAAATTCAAGGGCACTACCAAGAGTCAACTGCTATTACTAAGTCAAAGTTTTAATAACCAGAGCTTTTCTCACTGGCAGCAAAAGCCCACTCTCTTGGAAGGAAGAGCCCATGAAGGAGGCCTAGAATTATTAGTTAGGAGATTTTTTTCAAGATGTAACAAGCATAGGGGAAGAGAACAAGATAGAAACCAGCTAAATATCAAGGAAAAGAAATTCTGAAGTCTAAAGGAGGCTAAGATTTTCTTGAAATTTCTGCTTCAAACCCTAGACTTTAAGCTTATACTACTGTGAAGTATTGGCGTGGTATAGAGCAGGGTTTAGGGTTGTTGTACATAGGATCGCAAGGAGTCCCAGGCGGCACATAACAACTGTTAAGTAAAACTCAAGATCTTGATTAAAAACAAAAAACCCCCAAAACCCCAAACAAACAAAACAATGCTAGTTGAGGTGTTCTGGACTCACAGACACAATTCAGGGCAGAAATTTTCACAAAATCAGGCTGTTGTGAACTGCTGGAGAGCCCAACAATGTCGAGGCTCCCACGGAACAGCTAGTGGATTCGAACCGGATACCTTTGTGTTGGTAGTATAATTCCTTACCACTAAACTACCAGAGCCTGTAAGTCTTCTTTGTGTGAAGCATGCATGAAGGTTAGCATCCACTAGTTTTGGTAAGGTGTCAAATAAAAGTCTATTGAATAGCATTATTGGAGAAAACACTGGGCAAGAATGGGAAAAACACATTCATATGGGGTAGACATTATATGCGACGGTTTTCCTGTTTAATGCTCACTGGCGAGCTGAAATGACCGAAATCTAGTAGCAGCAGAAACAAAAGAGGGAAACTGACACATTAGGTCCAAGGACAAGGTCCGGGTGTGAGCAGAACCCACGCTCCTCCCTCTACCCAACACCCGAACTTCTGACAACTAAATCGAGTATTTTCATGCCTCAGGTGAGCTCAAGTTACTTCCTTACTCTGCAAGAAACCACTCCAGTTCCCCTCCCAGGGAGCGCGGGAAAGCTGGGCAAGGCCGCGGTGCCCGCCGCCAAGTTAACCTCGCCAAGCCCCTCACCCACCCGCCTGCCTGCACCGCACTCGTTTAGGTGAGAAGTTACGAAAGGAGGGCTGCACCACCCCCGCGAGCTGGCCCGCGAGCCCCGCGCCCACAGCTCCGCCACGTGGCGCGCGCGGGCGATCGGCGTACCCGCACTGCTGCCCGCCGCCCATGCTCCGGCTTTAGGCCCGGTGTGCTGCAGCCCCGCGCGCGTCGCTGCCTCCGCTGGTCCCGAAGCTGGAAAACCACAGCCCGCGCGCCCGGAAGAAGGAAGTCTGGCGAGGAGGCGGGCCGGCCGGCGCCGGAAAGTGGGAGCGGCCGGGCCCGCGCTCTAGGAAAGGAGCGACCCCGCCAGGGCGGGCATAGGGCTTGGCTGCTCCTTACTGGGCCTTCTGCTTCTCCCGGCGGGAATGATAGTAGGTGCTGTTAGTAGCTGCTACCCTCAAGCTAACACAGAGTGCTCCTCTCTGGAGCCCTGTCTTCTGGTGGTTGTGGATGGTTTGGGATTTTACTCCAAACTACTTTCCCTCCGAAAAGGATGGCGCTCAGCTGTCGTCTAGCATGTTTGCAGTGCTGCCTGGGATCTCAAAGTGTCCCGGTGCCCCCTCCCAGGGGAGTGTTAGCCTGTATAAACACGTCCTTACCTTCTACTCCAGTCCACTGATCCCCCAGCAGTTCAATTCAAAAGATACTCATTTGGAACCCTGTAAAAATTAGTGGGTGTTAAACC